TGCAAAAGGAAGGAGCATAGAATCATAGAATTGTGGAGTTGGAAAGGAATCCAAGAGTCATCTAGTCCAGTCCCCTGCAGTGCAGAAATCTCAGCTGAAGCATCCATGACAGATACCCCCCCCCCAAGCCTCTGCTTAAAAACCTCCAAGGAAGGAGAATCCATAGAACTCTACAGTTATATGATTCTGTGTTCTTCTGTGAGGCTTCTATACTGCTGGGACCTGTGGAAATAGTGTGCTTTCTCTTTTCCTGGTGAAGTATTTTTAATGAGGGCCAAGCCACTTGTCAGTGAACTTGATCCAGAGCGTTCGGAAAGACTCCCATTTGGTTATGGAAGGGACTAACCTGGCGGAGGCGTCAGCCTGAGGTGGTGACAAGGAAGCATTTTTTGGGGGGGCTGTTCTCCATTTCCTTGCAGCCCCTCACATTTCCTACGTCATTCTGGGGTGTCCCTAAACCTTCTGGGCAGCTTTGCAGGGGGCTGCCAAAATTGCATGCCCCCCTTCCTTCAGTGGGAGCAGGCTGAGCGGAGTTGTGCATGGAGGGGCTCTGGATCCAAGTCAGTGCAAGTCTGTCCAGAAGTGCAGTGGTTCACCTTTCCCAGCGTGAATGGCCACCCTTCATTTATAACCATGATAGCTCAGTTGGTTATAGTGTGGTGCTGATAACGCCAAGGTTGCAGGTTTGATCCCTCTATAGGAAAGCTGCCTATTCCTGCATCACAGGGGGTTGGATTGGATCAGGGTTGGCAAACTAAGGCCCAGGGGCCCGATGCAGCCCACCAGGCTTGTTAATCTGGCCTGCAGACCCTGCCACCCGCTCAGTCAGTCTCTGCTCTAAATCGGTCCGGTGCAGAGGCCTCGCCACATGGGGACTGAATTCCGCAACGCTGACACAGCTTCGGATTGGCTGCAGGAAGCTCCTGCAGCCAATCCAAAGCCGCGAATGCCTCTGGGTGGGCGGCGGCACTGGCACGGCTTCGGATTGGCCGCAGGAAGCTCCTGCTGCCAATCCGAAGCTGCAGATGCCTCTGGGTGACGTCCCTTCCTTCCCGCTGAGGCAGCTGCGTATGGCCAAGAGCTGAGCGGGAGGAGGTGGCGGAGAGGCTGCCTCTGCCGCCCAGGCCAGTGGCCTGGGCTCTGCCCCCCGCGGACCCCTAGCCAAGGTAGAGGATGACGACAACGCTGCCGAAGACAAGATGGTGTCGGCAGCTGCAGCGTGAGTGGCGTTGGTGGGGTTTCTCCTTTCGGGAGAGGGGGGTCCTTTGGGGAGAGAGTTGCTTTTGGGAGAGGGTAGGTCTGGCCCCCCACAAGATCTGAGGGACAGTGGACCGGCCCCCTCCTGAAAAAGTTTGCTGACCCCTGGATTGGCTGATCCTCAGGGTGCCTTCCAACTCTGCAATTCTGCGATTCTATGAATTACGGAAGCAAGCAAGCCTGGCGTATTATGAGATCAAACCTGCTCTCTGACCTTTGAGCGATTGAGAATCCTGCTGAAAGCCCCACTCCTGCCTCTGCATAGCTCTCTCCATGGGTTTTCATTGTGACGCCAGATGCACAAGGTATCTTTAGGAACTTTGGGAATATATTGTTATATGTATTCTTTTTAAGCTGCAAATGGGCTAGCTAGAAGCAGAGCTGAGCCAGGCGAGATCATTTATTTCAGTGTATTTCAGTGTATTTTGAAAACAGTAATAAAGCCTCGCCCTCTTGTTCCACTGGTAAAGCAATTGTCAAAGGGTGTGTCTGTGTGAAGGGTTTGTCAGAGGCTGGATGTGCTTGTACAGCCCATCTGAATTTGTGCACGTCTTGCAACAAAGGATCTTTTGTCTCTCTCACTAGGCTCCTATACAAATTCTATGGCACTGACAAAGGCAGGTTGGATATAGGATATGGATGTAGACAGAAGAACTTGGATCTGCCATCTTAAGGGTTGTTTTTTTTTTACAAGCTGCTCCAGTCTTTGTGAAGATCTCTGAAACCGTGCAGCTGCAAAGTCTCGCTATCAGGAAACTGAGTACATAAAAACAGTTGTCCTGCCCATAGGTGACCAATAGGCAACTGGGTTTTTGTGGCATCCCTAGATGGGACTAAGAGGGCCCATTGCCAAGTTATAGCATGGGGTTAGACCTGTGTCCCTGTCTCCACTGTGGTTGAACAGAGGCAAGACTGTTTCAGGGTACAGGGGGTTAGACATGTGCTATGGTGCCACCCTAGACTCAGACCATCTCATCCTTGGGATTTGAGTTGTTATGCTAACCAGAAAGATTGACTGTCACGGCACTGACCAAAACCCCATCCTATTCAGTGCTACGGCTCATGCGTTGCTCTCAGAAGGTCAGACCATGAATCTCAGCCATCTTGCATGGCAGGGCTAGCAAAGCCTTTTTTAAGAAAGCCATTGTAGTGCAGTGGTTAGGATGCTGGGAGGCCCAGGTTCAAATTCTCTCTTGCCTGTGAAGCTTGGAGCTGGTGTCCTTCAACAGGGGCCAGAATCCCAGACCCAAGCAGAACCCACTGATGATGCCCCTTCCTGAGACCCCTCTAGGTTTTTTCCTGACCTGGCACTCCAAGCAGGTGGTTGGATCTAGCCACCCTTCTCATTTTTCACAATGCCCCCAGCCTATTGCCCATTCTGGAGCAATGTGGGGGAATTAAAGGTTGTTGGGGGAAGGGTAGACCCAACCCCCCCCCAGCAGTTCTGCTTGGAGCACTGTCACTGCAACCAGGTGAGCCAGAGCCCACTGGCAGAGAAAGAGCACAATTTGCCCAGGGCCCCCTCACACCTGGAGCTGGCCCTGATGAAGTTCACAGGGTGCCCTTGCGCCAGCATCTTTCTCTTTTGTTCTCTCTCTCTCTCTCTCTCTCTCTCTCTCTCTCTCTCTCTCTTTCCTGAACCTACTCCACATATTGTTTTGAAGATAAGTTGGGGGGGGGGGGAGAGAACCACGTATACTTCCTAGAGCATCTGCATTTTCAGAATGAAAATGTAATAAACAATAAAAACATTTTTAGATTACAGTCATACCTCATGTTACGTCCGCTTCATGGTACGTTCCTTCAGGTTACGTCCTGCGGTGACCTGGAAGTACTGGAAAGGGTTACTTCCGGGTTTCGCCGCTCACGCATGCGCAGAAGCGCAAAATGACATCATGCGCAGAAGCGGCGAATCGCAACCCGCGTTTGTACAGACGCACCGCTGCAGGTTGTACTCTTTTCATGTTGCGAATGGGCCTCCTGAACGGATCCCGTTCGCAACCAGAGGTACCACTGTATATATTTTCCTCGTGGACAGGGACTTTTCTGTTTTTGTGACGAAACTGTGCAAAGTGTCGCATGCACAGTTAGTAAGTGTCACGTCGAGCCGTTTAAAAATCACACAATACTTGGCGAGTTGTTCTCAGAGATCTCCCTGGCAAAAACACTTGTGCCAGACAGCAAGATCGGCAGGAGATTTTGAAATGAAACCGAGATGTTACTGAAAGGAAATGTAAACCCGGAGGGAGAATGATAGCAGAAAGATGGATGGGATCCAAAGAAAGGTAACTCTTCTTTTGTAATCCCTTTGAGAAGAACCTGGCCAGAGTGCTTTGTGTTCCATGTGACTTAGACACACTTGGCTTTTAGCTGTTGATTGTTGCTGGTAGAGGTGCCTGTGGTTCATTGCATCAATGCAATCTCTTGGTTAAACTCCCCCCCCCCATTGGTTGTTCCAGCAGGAGGGTGCTATTGCTACTTGGCTGATGTGAGAAAAGGAAGGAAGCATGTTCAAAGTTTTAATGTGTTAGCCATGTCTGCCAAACCTACTGATAGCTGAGCCATGTTTTTCTTCTTTCGGAATTATAAAATTGGAGGTGTTCAATCATTCTTCCAGGTCAAATGATTTGCTTCTAAGATGTGTTTACAGTAATAATTTCCCTGTCCTCAGAGGAGCACCCCTGCTGTGTCTCTGCTTGATTTGGGCATTCACTCATTGGTGAGAGGGGACTTGCAGCTGAACAGAGGAGAGGCAGCACCGAGGAAACAGTTCATAAATGAGACTATGGAATTCACTGCCACAAGATGGCTTAAAAATGGGGTTGGACAAAATCAGAGAAGGTGAGGCTTTCAGTGGCTGGCTACTAGACGTGCATCATTCCTCTTGAGTACCACTTGCTGGGGAGAACTGCTCTTGTTCCCTATTTGTGGGATTTCCACGTCATCTGATCTGCCACTGCGGAAAACAGGATGCTGGCAAGGTGGGCCTTCCTTCTGATCCAGCAGGGCTTTCCTTACATTCTTACACTCTGGAAACCAACCACCAAAAGGTGCCGCCACCTGATACTCAATTATGGTGTGCCCAATACTTTTGAGCCCTTTCTCTGCATTCGGGAGCAAATGTTTTGTCCCACTTGCCTTGGTGGTTTGTTAAAACAAAGTCACCCCCCCGCCCCCCGCAAACCTGCAGTTTGATGACGTTGCACAATGTGTCGGTTTTATCAGATGTTATTAGAAAAGGAGGAGTGTGTAGTTCTAAAATTCTGGGATGGGGAGCAGAGCAGGCCTGACTCTCTTTTACGATAACCACATGGTGCATTTAGAAAGTCTGGGGAGCATGATTTGGTTAGAATTGGGGGAAGCGAATGGTGGGATCTGTGGCATTCATAAAGCAACCTTTCCCCTCTAATTTGATCCACCTCCTGTCTCTGTTAGCATTTAGTTCCATCCTGAAATTAGTGTTCTGTACTCACTAGAATATTGGCTTAAATGCCAGGCAACGTTTTTCTTAATAAAACAGCAGCGAAAGATGCAGACCCTTACTAAACGCTTATGAATGAGTGGATTGTGTGTGTGTTTGGAAAACCCCTAAGCACCTTGCTTAATGAATCAGGATAAGGAGATGACACACCCTATTCATGTGCATTTGGAGCAAAGTGCTTTTGTTTCTTTTCCCAGCTGCCAATCAAAGAGCAGCTCCTCACGCCTGAGTATGTGCTTAAGTTCCTTAACCTCCACCACAGACATGCTGCTTGACCTCAGCGATCTCCTTCAGGTATTGTACTGCATCTGCTTTTCTCCCAATGTTCTGCTCAAACATTAATCCTTGCAAGTGAAGAGCTACTAACGTGGGTGCTTATTCAGGAAGCCTTAATTATCTCTTTTTTTGGCTTAGCAGTGCTGGACAGGAAAATCACAGGGGTTGGAAATCAGGGATAATTGTTCTATGCAATTAGAGATCAAGTGTTTGGTGCCTTTCGCTCCCTTCAACAAATAACAAATCAACAGTTAGTATCATTGTGATGCTAATGAACTTGCTGCTGAGGCAGTGGCCCAAGGTCAGATTTTATATACCTGCCTCCCCCCCCAAAAAAAACCTGGTGCCCTCCAGATGTTTTGGACTACAACTCCCATCATCCCTAGCTAGCAAGACCAGTGGTCAGGGATAATGGGAATTGTAGTCCAAAAACAGCTGGAGACCCAAGTTTAGGAAGCACGGCTTTAGAGCAGTGTTTCTCAACCACGGGCTGTATGGCCCCCTGGAGGCCCCATAAACTATTTCAAAGGGGCCACAGGTGAAAATCGCGTAAATGGGGGGGGGGGTCACGGCACAAGACGGGGGCCACAGAGGGAAGTGAGAAGTGAAGAAAACAGAAGTGACTGAGAAAAGAAATCAGAAAAGAAAAAAGAAAACAGAGAAGTGGAAGAGAATAGAAAACAAGAGTAGAGTCAACCGAGAAGTGACCATGCTTCCCAGTGGATTTGTAAAAATTATAAATAAGGCATGTTCTATTTACAAAGCAAGACATTTAAATAGCTACCTTTTTATCCTTTTTATAACTGCAAGTACATGGCACACATTTTCTAATGATTTCTATGTAGTTTTACAACTTTTTAGCACCCTTCGTCTTCGGAATTTGAAAGTTGGGAAATTCAGCATGTCCTGTTGGGTTAGGCTTTTATGCACCATTCAAGCTAGCTTTTACTTGTTACGAAATTATAGAAAATTCGAAATAGAGGGCCATAGTTCAAAAGGGGGGAGAAAATATTTTAGCAGGGTTGGATTGAAAAGAGAATGATTGATACACATGGGGTTGTTGTATATTTTCTGAATAATTAGGGTGATGGTTGAATGAGCTTTAGCCTCTGGTAGTTGGTGTACTTGCATGATAACTATTTGGACTGAAAGTGCACACGGAGTTGTCTGTAGAAGTGCATTAAGAATTGGCATTCTCAACGGTTATATATATATGTGTTGCATGTGTTTGATATGACCATCCCATATCAAAATATTCTATACACAACTCAGCTGGTAGAGGTTATTTTTGGCCTCTCCAGCTGTCTCTAGTAACTGGCATCCTCTCATCGACTGCGTGGAGCTTCAAAGAACCTTTGGGAATTGCAGTAATTTAACAAATTTTTATTCTTAAAGGGGCCAATGCTAAAAATAGACTCCATATAGCAGTATGTCAGAGGTGGTAGAGAGACATTGGGGTTTCATGGCTGCCAATGCTGATTTTTATTATATGATAGATAGTTATAGAAGGCAACATTTAGCTCTTCTGGATTGTTGAATCTCTTTGACAGTTGGATTTACCGTATTTTGCGCCCCATAGGACGCTCCGGCCCATAGGACGCACCTAGTTTTTTTTGGGGGGGGGGAAATAAAGAATTTTTTTTTATTTTCCCCCCCAGGTGTGGGGCTGGAAGAACCGGGTCGGGGAACAGCGGGAAGGCACGCTCTGCCTCCCCGCTGTCCCCCGAGCTTGTGGGGCTGGCGATGGGGAGAAGTGCGCTGATCCCGGGACTGCAGGCAGCTGTGCACGGCCATCGGGAGTGGGATTTCGCGCCCGGCTCCCGGTGGCCGCGCAGAGCTGCGCTGAGCCCGGGACTGCAGGCAGCTGTGCGCGGCCATCGGGAGCGGGATTTCGCGCCCCGCTCCCGGTGGCCGCGCAGAGCTGCGCTGATCCCGGGACTGCAGGCAGCTCTGCGTGGCCATCGGGAGCGGGGCGGGACTTCGCACCCGGCTCCCGGTGGCCGCGCAGAGCTGCGCTGAGCCCGGGACTGCAGGCAGCTCTGCGCAACCCTCGGAGCCGGTCTCCCGAGGGTTGCTCAGAGCTTCCTGAAGCCTGGAGAGCGAGAGGTGTCGGTGCGCACTGACGCCTCTCGCTCTCCAGACTTCAGCGAAAGCCTGCATTCGCCCCATAGGACGCACACACATTTCCCCTTCATTTTTGGAGGGGAAAAAGTGCGTCCTATAGGGCAAAAAATACGGTATTTATTTTCCCACTATTTCCCACCCTTCTCAGGTTCACTCTTGACATCTGCCTAAAGCATGGTGTCTGCTTATTAAATACTGTATACATGCCTATTTTTCTCCTCTCTCTTGCCTACTCTTTCCCCTCCTACTCCTTTTCCTTTTCTTAAAAAAAAAACTGTCAAAATGAGCAACAACAGAAGAAAAAGGGGTGATCATAGGATTTTAGAGTCAGAAGGGACCCCGAGGGTCATCTAGTCTAACCCCCCCATGCAGGAATCTGAGCTAAAGCATCCATGGCAGATGACCGTCCAAACACTGCTTTAAAAACCCCAAGGAAGGAGAGCCCACAACCTCTCGAGGGAGACCGTTCTCCTGTCAAATAGCTCTTACTGTCAGAAAGTTCTTCCTAACATTTAATCAGAATCTCCTTTCTTGTAACTTGAAGCCACTGGTTCAAGTCCTACCCCCCCCCAGCAGGAAGAAACAAGCTTGTTCCCTCTTCCCTCACGATCATTCCCACAGCAGGGCATGTTGAATCTTTCAGCTTTCAAATTCCAAAAATGAGCGGTCCTAAAAAGTTGCAACGTGATTTTGGAATTCAAAAGAAATTTGGGTTAGATTAATATAACATAGATTTGCTTGGTAAGTAAAATGTGTGTAAATGTGCGTGGAAATAATTAAAAATGATTGACAAGCACTTGCAGATATATTATTATTATTATTAATTATTATTTAGCATTACTTGACATTTTCAGAAGGCAAAATTAAAACTCTTTGGTTTTCGGAAAGTGTTTTATGTGCTTCTTCATCAAAAGTAGACTTACCAAGATAATTGTTGTCCAGTTCCCCAAATAGTAGCAGATTAAAATTAATCACATCCAAAAACATATTTTTAAGACCCCCTCATTAAGAAATTTGCAAAAATTAAGTTTTGCTGCCTAAAATGACACGCCCTATTTCCACAGGGCAATTGAAGGTAGATCACTCTGTGGGTGGAGGGGGAAATCCTGCTGGATCAGGTCCTTAAGTGCCTTGGCCTGTCTCTGTCCATGATGGTTATATGCTTAAATACAGACTAGGAGGAAGTGGGTGTGAGAGGCTCAGGCTAGTTACTAACCCACATTTTATGTAGCTTACTATAGCTAAGGGTAGTTGGGTTGACATGTCAACTACTAATTAGGATGATGTTGATGACTGCTTGATGACTTTGCTGTTTGGTTTATGACACTTGTAATAATTAGCTCGCACGTAACTCTTTAATGTCTTGTCCAAAGCTGATATTTGAAATGGTTCCTTAAATTCTTAGATTTAGGAATTTAACTTTAAAGTCTGGATTTGCCAGACTTTTGAGAATTCTGTGGCCAGAAAAAATCTATTCACCATACAGCTTGCTGGGTAGATTTTGTTCACAAACTGGTGGTGACTATAGTCAGGAAGAACTTCCCTCTCTGCTCACACCTGTGAGTTTCATGACCAAATGGGATGACACTATCCTCGGATGAGGCACTTCTGGTGGCTCCCCATGCCCCAGAGGTTCTGTGGGGCTTCTCCAAAGGATTGATCCTTTAGTGTGGCAGGTCCTACACTGTGGAATTCCCTGCCAGTAGAAGTTCAGCAGGAACCATCCTTCTCTTCTTTCAGATGTCTTTTGAAAACTAGATTGCAAAGGTCTGTCTGAAAAATGCATTTTTTTCTCCTTTCAACCAATCAGTAATTATTGGTGTTTTTAATGATGGCTATATGGGCAATTTTTATTGATTTCATTTTTATATATTGTATACAGCAGGTTATAAATACAGTGCATAAATAAATATAATGCATTCTGCTGGGTTTTATCGGGTTGATGGGTCACCTTAAACTCTTAATAGAAAGCCCCCTGGAGCAACCCCATCCTAAACTGTGTGAAAATGTGTTGACTGCTGAAGGAATTTTTATGTTCCTCAGGTTCGTCTTATACTCACTAAGACCAGGGCTTTTAGTGTGGTGAGCCCTTTGGAATGCACCCAAAGTGAATATCAGGCAGGCGCATACAGTATTTGTATTTAGGCACATGTTTAAAATGCCTCACCTGAGCAGTGCTCCAGCTCTGTTGGTTTATTAAGGTGATCTACTGATTTGTGATGCATCTTGTTTTAGAAATGTAATTTTCTGGTTGATGTTATGCTGCTGGCCATTTTGATATATTTTTCTTAATGTTGCCCAAATAGTGTTGTTGTTTTTTTGCCCTTGCAGGCTCGGTCCACCCTTGTCTGTTCTCCATCAACTTTCTTTGATGGCTGTATTGCCGCTTGCCTTTCTCCTGATCTGGAGGAAAAAACTAGATGTTACATGGAGTTTTACAGGCTCAGGCTGGCAGAAATGATATAGCGAAACCACCACCCCCTCCCACCATGGAAGTCAGGAATTGAAGGGCAAAAAAAAGTTGCTTTGTGCAGAAACTCCACTCTAAATTGAAAGCTGAGATTTTAAAATGATAGAACTAGAGGAATTATCCAGTATTGAAGCTTTGTACTCTGAAAGTAGAGTTTTTTAACAACTCTTTTTTCACTGGGATGATTTCTCCACAAAGGTAAACCCCAGTCATCGGAGACATTGTCTGGAGAACTGCTTGACTTGGTATAGTATGAGGAAATAATGCATAGCATGGTTAAAGAAATAATTCAAAAGAGTGAACTGATAGTCTCAGTAGATGTTGAAATTCCTCCTTTGGAAACAATCTTGATCTCTCTTGGCTGGCTGTCACCAGATAATAATTATTTCTTCCCTGAAATATTTCTTTTGTAATCTCCAGAGTG